CACTCACTCATCTTTCTGTAGTTTATCTCACTGACTCAACTTTCTCTAGTTTACAACAATCATTCATCTTTCTGTAGTTTATCACACTCACTCATCTTTCTGTAGTTTATCACAAACTCATCCTTCTCTAGTTTATTACACTAACTTATCTTTCTGTGATTTTTCACACTCACTCATCTTCCTGAAGTTATCACTTACTCATTTTTCTGCAGTTCATCACACTCACTCGTCTTTTTGTAGTTTATCACACTCACTCATCTTTCTGTAGTTTATCAAACTCATTCATCTTTCTGTAGTTTATCAAACCAAACTCATTCATCATTCTGTAGTTAATCACACTCTCTCATCTTTCTGTAGTTTATCACACTCACTCATCTTTCTGTAGTTTATCACATTCACACAACTTTCAATAGTTTATCACACTCATCTTTCAGTAGTTTATCTCACACAGCTGTCTTTCTGTAGTTTATCACACTCACTCGTCTTTCTGTAGTTTATCACACTCACTCATCTTTCTGTAGTTTATCACACTCACTCATCGTTCTGTAGTTTATCACACTCACTAACCTTTCTGTAATTTTTATCACTCACTCATCTTTCTGTAGTTTATCACACTCACTCATCTTTCTGTAGTTTAGTTTATCATATTCACACAACTTTCAACAGTTTATCACACTCATCTTTCTATAGTTTTTCACAGTCATTCATTTTTCTGTGAGTTATCACACTCATCTTTCTGTAGTTTATCACAAACACTCGTCTTTCGATAGTTCATCACACCCACTCATCTTTCTGTAGTTTATTATACTCACACATCTTTCTGTAGTTTATCACACTCACTCATCTTTCTGTAGTTTATTATACTCACTCATCTTTCTGTAGTTTATCACACTCATTCATCTTTCTGTAAGTTATTACACTCATCTTTCTGTAGTTTATTATACTCACTCATCTTTCTGTAGTTTATCACACTCACTCATCTTTCTGTAGTTTATCACACTCACTCATCTTTCTGTAGTTTATTATACTCACTCATCTTTCTGTAGTTTATCACACTCACACATCTTTCTGTAGTTTATCACACTCATCCTTGTGTAGTTTATCACACTCACCCATCTTTCTGTAGTTTATTACACTCACTCATCTTTCTGTGGTTTATCATATTTACACAACTTGTAGTAGTTTATTACACTCATCTTTCTGTAGTTTATCAAACTTATTCATCTTTCTATAGTTTATTACACTCATTAATCTTTCTGTAGTTTATCACACTCACTCATTTTTCTGTAGTTTATTACACTCACTCATCTTTCTGTAGTTTATTACACTCACTCATCTTTCTGTAGTTTATCACACTCACTCATCTTTCTGTAGTTTATCACACTCACTCATCTTTCTGTAGTTTGTCAAACTCATTAATCTTTCTGTAAGTTATCACACTCATCTTTCTGCAATTGATCACACTCATTCATCTTTCTATAAGTTATAACACTCATCTTTCTGTAGTTTATCACACTAACTTATCTTTCTCTGATTTTTCATACTCACTCATCTTTCTGAAGTTTATCACACATTGTAGTTCATCACATCTTTTGTAGTTTATCACACTCATCTTTCTGTAGTTTATCATTCACTCATCTTTCTGTAGTTTATTATACTCACTCATCTTTCTGTAGTTTATTATACTCACTCATCTTTCTGTAGTTAATCAAACTCATTCATCTTTCATTACACTCATCTTTCTGTAGTTTATTATACTCACTCATCTTTCTGTAGTTTATCACACTCACTCATCTTTCTGTAGTTTATTATACTCACTCATCTTTCTGTAGTTTATCACTCATCTTTCTGTAGTTCATCACACTCACTCATCTTTCTGCAATTCATCAGACTAACTCATCTTTCTGTAGTTTATCACACTCACTCATCTTTCTGTAGTTTATCACACTCACTCATCTTTCTGTAGTTTATTATACTCACTCATCTTTCTGTAGTTTATCACACTCATTCATCTTTCTGTAAGTTATTACACTCACTCATCTTTCTGTAGTTTATTACACTCACTCATCTTTCTGTAGTTTATCACACTCACTCATCTTTTTGTAGTTTATCATAAACTCATCTTTCTGTAGTTTATCACACTCACTCATCTTTCTGTAGTTTATCACACCCATCTTTCTGTAGTTTATTACACTCACTCATCTTTCTGTAGTTTATCATATTCACACAACTTTCAGTAGTTCATCACACTCATCTTTCTGTATTTTATCATATTCACACAACTTTCAATAGTTTATCACACTCATCTTTCTGTAGTTGATCACTCTCACTCATATTTCTATAGTTTATCACACTCACTCATCTTTCTGTAGTTTATCTCACTCACTCAACTTTCTCTAGTTTACCACAATCATTCATCTTTCTGTAGTTTATCACACTCATCCTTGTGTAGTTTATCACATTCACCCATCTTTCTGTAGTTTATTAAACTCACTCATCTTTCTGTAGTTTATCATCATCACTTATCTTTCTGTAGTTTATCACACACTGATCTTTCTTTAGTTGATCACACTCATTCATCTTTCTGTAGTTTATCACAAACTCATTTTCTGTAGTTAATTACACTCACCTATCTTTCTGTAGTTTATTACACTCACTCATCACTCTGTAGTTTATCACACTCATTCATCTTTCTGTAGTTTATTCACACTTACTCATCTTTCTGTAGTTTATCAAACTCACTCATCTTTCTGTAGTTTATCTCAAACACTCATCTTTCTCAAGTTCACCACAATCATTAATCTTTCTGTAGTTTATCACACTCACTCATCTTTCTGCAGTTCATCACACACTCATCTTTCTGTAGTTGATCACACACAGATGTCTTTCTGTAGTTTATCACACTCACTCGTCTTTCTGTAGTTTATCACATTCACTCGTCTTTCTGTAGTTTATCACACTCACTCATCTTTCTGTAGTTTATTACACTCACTCATCTTTCTGTAGTTTATCACAATCACTCATCTTTCTGCAATTGATCGAACTAACTCATCTTTCTGTAGTTTATCTCACTCACTCAACTTTCTCTAGTTAACCACAATCATTTATCTTTCTGTAGTTTATCACAAGCACTCATCTTTCTGCAATTGATCACACTCATTCATCTTTCTATAAGTTATAACACTCATCTTTCTGCAATTGATCACACTCATTTTTTCTGTAGTTTATTATCATCTCATCTTTCTGTAGTTTATCACACACTCATCTTTCTGTAGTTTATCACACTCACTCATCTTTCTGTAGTTTATCAGTTTATCACACTCATCTTTCTGTAGTTGATCACTCTCACTCATATTTCTATAGTTTATCACACTCACTCAACTGTCTCTAGTTTACCACAATCATTCATCTTTCTGCAATTTATCACGCTAACTCATCTTTCTGTAGTTTATCAAACATATTCACACAACTTTCAGTAGTTTATCACACTCATCTTTCTGTAGTTGATCACTCTCACTCATATTTCTATAGTTTATCACACTCACTCAACTGTCTCTAGTTTACCACAATCATTCATCTTTCTGTAGTTTATCACACTCACTCATCTTTCTCTAGTTTATTACACTCACTCATTTTTCTGTAGTTAATCACACTCACTTATCTTTCTGTAGTTAATTACACTCACTCATCTTTCTGTAGTTTATTACAGTCACTCATCTTTCTTTAGTTAATTACACTCACTCATTTTTCTGTAGTTTATTAAACTCACTCATATTTCTGTAGTTTATCATATTCACACAACTTTCAGTAGTTTATCACACTCATCTTTCTGTAGTTTATCACACTCACTCATCTTTCTGTAGTTTATCAGTTTCATCTTTCTCATTTATACTCACTCATCTTTCTGTAGTTTATCACACTCACTCATCTTTCTGTAGTTTATTACACTCACTCATCTTTCTTTAGTTTATCACTCTCACTCATCTTTCTGTAGTTTATTACACTCACTCATCTTTCTGTAGTTTATCACACACTCATCTTTCTGTAGTTTATCACACTAACTCTTCTTTCTGTAGTTTATCACAGTCACACAACTTTCTGTAGTTTATCACACTCATCTTTCTGTAGTTTTTCAAACTTACTCATTTTTATTCAGTTCATCACACTCACTGGTCTTTTTGTAGTTTATCGAACTCACTCATCTTTCTCAAGTTCACCACACTAACTCATCTTTCTTCAGTTGATCACACTCACTCGTCTTTCTGTACTTGATCACACACTCATCTTTCTGCAGCTCATCACACTCACTCGTCTTTCTGTAGTTTATTATGCTCACTCATCTTTCTGTAGTTTATTATACTCACACATCTTTCTGTAGTTTATTATGCTCACTCATCTTTCTGTAGTTTATTAAACTCACTCATCTTTCTGTAGTTTACCACAATCATTCATCTTTCTGTAGTTTATCACAATCACTCATCTTTCTGCAATTGATCGAACTAACTCATCTTTCTGTAGTTTATTATACTCACTCATCTTTCTGTAGTTTATTATGCTCACTCATCTTTCTGTAGTTAATCAAACTCATTCATCTTTATGTAGTTTATTACACTCATTAATCTTTCTGTAAGTTATCACACTCATCTTTCTGTATTTTATCACACTCACTCATCTTTCTGCAATTCATCACACTAACTCATCTTTCTGTAGTTGATCATTCACTCATCTTTCTGTAGTTTATTATACTCACTCATATTTCTGTAGTTTATCACACTCACTCATCTTTCTGTAGTTTATTATACTCACTCATTTTTCTGTAGTTTATCACACTCACTCATCTTTCTGTAGTTTATCACAAACTCATATTTCTGTAGTTTATCACATTCACTCATCTTTCTGTAGTTTATTATACTCACTCATTTTTCTGTAGTTTATCACACTCACTCATCTTTCTGTAGTTTATCACACTCACTCATCTTTCTGTAGTATATCACATTCACTCATCTTTCTGTAGTTGATGATATTGATTCATCTTTCTGTAGTTGATCACACTCACTCATTTTTCTGTTGTTTATCACACTCTGATCTTTCTTCAGTTGATCACACTCACTCGTCTTTCTGTACTTGATCACACACTCATCTTTCTGCAGTTTTTCACACTCTTCATCTTTCTGTAGTTTATCTTTCTGTAAGTTTCACACTCATCTTTTTGTAGTTTATCATAAACTCATCTTTCTGTAGTTTATTATACTCACTCATGTTTCTGTAATTCAGCACACTAACTCATCTTTCTGTAGTTAACACACTCATTCTTGGGTAGTTTATCACACTCACTCATTTTTCCGTAGTTTATTAAAGTCACTCATTTTTCTGTAGTTTTTATCATCTTTCAGTTTATCATCTTTCTGTAGTTTATCACACTCTCATCTTTCTGCAGTTCATCACACTCACTCGTCTTTCTGTAGATTATCACATTCACTCATCTTTCTGTAGTTTATCACACTCACTCGTCTTTCTGTAGATTATCACATTCACTCATCTTTCTGTAGTTTATCAAACTCACTCATCTTTCTCAAATTCCCCACAATCATTAATCTTTGTGTAGTTTATCACACTCATTCATCTTTCTGTAGTTTATCATATTCACAAAACTTTCAGTAGTTGATCACACTCATTCATCTTTCTGTAGTTTATCACACTCACTCATCTTTCTGTAAGTTGTTACACTCATCTTTCTGTAGTTTATTATACTCACTCATCTTTCTGTAGTTTATCACACTGTGTATTCATCTTTCTGTAGTTTATCACACTCACTCATCTTTCTGTAGTTTTCATCAAACTCATCTTTCTGTTTATTTGTTTATCTTTCTCACTCATCTTTCTGTAGTATTATCCCAGTTGGTTAAAGTTTCTTTCTAGTTTATCACACTGTCACTCATCTTTCTGTAGTTTATTAAAGTCATCTTTCTGTAGTTTATCTGTGTATCACTCATCTGTTGTTTACTCTGTGTATCAGGTATCATTAAAGTGGATCTTTCTGTTTACTCTGTGTATCAGGGTCACATCATCTTTCTGTAGTTATTACAGAGTCTTTCTGTTGTTTACTGTGTGTATAAGGTTCAGATGATCCCGGGTTGGTTAAAGTGGGGTCTTTCTGTTGTTTAATCTGTGTATCAGATACAGATGATCCCGGGTTGGTTAAAGTGGAGTCTTTCTGTTGTTTACTCTGTGTATCAGGTACAGATGATCCCGGGTTGGTTAAAGTGGAGTCTTTCTGTTGTTTACTCTGTGTATCAGGTACAGATGATCCCGAGTTGGTTAAAGTGGAGTCTTTCTGTTGTTTACTCTGTGTATCAGGTACAGATGATCCCGGGTTGGTTAAAGTGGAGTCTTTCTGTTGTTTACTCTGTGTATCAGGTACAGATGATCCCGAGTTGGTTAAAGTGAAAGCTTTCTGTAGTTTACTCTGTGTATTATGTAAAGATGATCCCGGGTTGGTTAAAGTGGAGTCTTTCTGTTGTTTACTCTGTGTATCAGGTACAGATGATCCCGGGTTGGTTAAAGTGGAGTCTTTCTGTTGTTTACTCTGTGTATCAGGTACAGATGATCCCGAGTTGGTTAAAGTGGAGTCTTTCTGTTGTTTACTCTGTGTATCAGGTACAGATGATCCCGAGTTGGTTAAAGTGGAGTCTTTCTGTTGTTTACTCTGTGTATCAGGTACAGATGATCCCGAGTTGGTTAAAGTGGAGTCTTTCTGTTGTTTACTCTGTGTATCAGGTACAGATGATCCCGAGTTGGTTAAAGTGGAGTCTTTCTGTTGTTTACTCTGTGTATCAGGTACAGATGATCCCGAGTTGGTTAAAGTGGAGTCTTTCTGTTGTTTACTCTGTGTATCAGGTACAGATGATCCCGGGTTGGTTAAAGTGGAGTCTTTCTGTTGTTTACTCTGTGTATCAGGTACAGATGATCCCGGGTTGGTTAAAGTGGAGTCTTTCTGTTGTTTACTCTGTGTATCAGGTACAGATGATCCCGAGTTGGTTAAAGTGGAGTCTTTCTGTTGTTTACTCTGTGTATTATGTAAAGATGATCCTGAGTTGGTTAAAGTGGAGTCTTTCTGTTGTTTACTCTGTGTATCAGGTACAGATGATCCCGAGTTGGTTAAAGTGGAGTCTTTCTGTTGTTTACTCTGTGTATCAGGTACAGATGATCCCGGGTTGGTTAAAGTGGAGTCTTTCTGTTGTTTACTCTGTGTATCAGGTACAGATGATCCCGAGTTGGTTAAAGTGGAGTCTTTCTGTTGTTTACTCTGTGTATCAGGTACAGATGATCCCGAGTTGGTTAAAGTGGAGTCTTTCTGTTGTTTACTCTGTGTGTAGTTGGTTAAAGTGGTCTTTCTGTTGTTTACTCTGTGATGATCCCGGGTTGGTTAAAGTGGAGTCTTTCTGTTGTTTACTCTGTGTATCAGGTACAGATGATCCCGGGTTGGTTAAAGTGGAGTCTTTCTGTTGTTTACTCTGTGTATCAGGTACAGATGATCCCGAGTTGGTTAAAGTGAAGTCTTTCTGTTGTTTACTCTGTGTATCAGGTACAGATGATCCCGGGTTGGTTAAAGTGAAGTCTTTCTGTTGTTTACTCTGTGTATCAGGTACAGATGATCCCGAGTTGGTTAAAGTGGAGTCTTTCTGTTGTTTACTCTGTGTATCAGGTACAGATGATCCCGAGTTGGTTAAAGTGGAGTCTTTCTGTTGTTTACTCTGTGTATCAGGTACAGATGATCCCGAGTTGGTTAAAGTGGAGTCTTTCTGTTGTTTACTCTGTGTATCAGATACAGATGATCCCGAGTTGGTTAAAGTGGAGTCTTTCTGTTGTTTACTGTGTGTATAAGGTTCAGATGATCCCGGGTTGGTTAAAGTGGAGTCTTTCTGTTGTTTACTCTGTGTATCAGATACAGATGATCCCGGGTTGGTTAGGTCGACTTTGTGAAGGAGTTTGGTGTCGATCTGGGTCGGCGGTGTGAAGGAGTTTGGTGTCGATCAGGGTCGGTTGTGTAAAGGAGTTTTGTGCCGATCTGGGTCGGCTTTTTGAAGGAGTTTGGTGTCGATCAGGGTCGGTTTTGTGAATGCGTTTGGTGCCGATCTTGGTCGACTTTGTGAAGGAGTTTTGTGCCGATCAGGGTCAACGGTGTGAAGGAGTTTTGTGTCGATCTTGGTCAGCTTTATGAAGGAGTTTGGTGTCGATTAGGGTCGGTTTTGTGAAGGAGTTTGGTGCCGATCTTGGTCGGTTTTGTGAAGGAGTTTGGTGCCGATCTTGGTCGACTTTGTGAAGGAGTTTTGTGTCGATCAGGGTCGGCTTTGTGAAGGAGTTTGGTGCCGATCTTGGTCGGCTTTGTGAAGGAGTTTGGTGCCGATCTTGGTCGGTTTTGTGAAGGAGTTTGGTGCCGATCTTGGTCGACTTTGTGAAGGAGTTTTGTGTCGATCAGGGTCGGCTTTGTGAAGGAGTTTGGTGCCGATCTTGGTCGGCTTTGTGAAGGAGTTTGGTGCCGATCTTGGTCGGTTTTGCGAAGGAGTTTGGTGCCGATCTTGGTCGACTTTGTGAAGGAGTTTTGTGTCAATCAGGGTCGGCTTTGTGAAGGAGTTTGGTGCCGATCTTGGTCGGCTTTGTGAAGGAGTTTGGTGCCGATCTTGGTCGGCTTTGTGAAGGAGTTTGGTGCCGATCTTGGTCGACTTTGTGAAGGAGTTTTGTGTCGATCAGGGTCGGCTTTGTGAAGGAGTTTGGTGCCGATCAGGGTCGGCGGTGTGAAGGAGTTTGGTGTCGATCAGTGTCGGTTGTGTGAAGGAGTTTTGTGCCGATCAGGGTCGGCTTTGTGAAGGAGTTTGGTGTCGATCTGGGTCGACTTTGTGAAGGAGTTTGGTGTCGATCTGGGTCGGCGGTGTGAAGGAGTTTGGTGTCGATCAGGGTCGGTTGTGTGAAGGAGTTTTGTGCCGATCTGGGTCGGCTTTTTGAAGGAGTTTGGTGTCGATCAGGGTCGGTTTTGTGAATGCGTTTGGTGCCGATCTTGGTCGTTTTTGTGAAGGAGTTTTGTGCCGATCAGGGTCAACGGTGTGAAGGAGTTTTGTGTCGATCTTGGTCTGCTTTCTGAAGGAGTTTGGTGTCGATTAGGGTCGGTTTTGTGAAGGAGTTTGGTGCCGATCTTGGTCGGTTTTGTGAAGGAGTTTGGTGCCGATCTTGGTCGACTTTGTGAAGGAGTTTTGTGTCGATCAGGGTCGGCTTTGTGAAGGAGTTTGGTGCCGATCTTGGTCGGCTTTGTGAAGGAGTTTGGTGTCGATCTTGGTCGGTTTTGTGAAGGAGTTTGGTGCCGATCTTGGTCGACTTTGTGAAGGAGTTTTGTGTCGATCAGGGTCGGCTTTGTGAAGGAGTTTGGTGCCGATCTTGGTCGGCTTTGTGAAGGAGTTTGGTGCCGATCTTGGTCGGTTTTGCGAAGGAGTTTGGTGCCGATCTTGGTCGACTTTGTGAAGGAGTTTTGTGTCAATCAGGGTCGGCTTTGTGAAGGAGTTTGGTGCCGATCTTGGTCGGCTTTGTGAAGGAGTTTGGTGCCGATCTTGGTCGACTTTGTGAAGGTGTTTTGTGTCGATCAGGGTCGGCTTTGTGAAGGAGTTTGGTGCCGATCTTGGTCGGCTTTGTGAAGGAGTTTGGTGCCGATCTTGGTCGGTTTTGTGAAGGAGTTTGGTGTCGATCAGGGTTGAATTGGTGAATTAAGAAATCTGAAGTCGATCGAGATTGAATTTTTGCAGGAATAAGGTGGACTGGATTGGTTTTGTGAATACAGAAATTTGGTGCCAATTGCGATTGGCTTTATTAATGAATGTGTCTAGATAGGCTATGTGAAATTTAAGATAATGCGGTGCTCTTATAATTTGGTTTTGGGACGGGACACTCTACAAATGGGATTGTCTTCAGAAATGTTGTTCCGGTGGTATCGATTTTTATATGTCGGAATGAGATTCAGACCAAGTAAGGCATTGTTACAGAATGTTATGTCGACAGGATTGGCTTTGCAACCGTAATGTGTTCAGAGAAAAAAATGAGCTTGTCGGCAGGAATATGATGCCACCGGGTCGATCTGTGGTGACCGAATCGTTATTGGCAGAACATGAAAAGCATTTTTAAATCTTGCTTAGATTTGTTTTTAATTTCACAAAAAAAAAAAAAAAAAAAACAACAAAAAAACGTTTTACACCAACTGTAAATTTGTTTTTGAAGTGCCTTTACAATTCGAATAGCATTTTATCAAACACAAATGTTGAAAATATTTCATAACGGAGCTGGCAATCGGTAATCAAAATACATGCATCACAACACAACAATACGGGAAAGGTATTTTAGATAACGTGAAAGAGCTTCATGTACCTCTCTGTAGCACCTAGCGTCTCGTCCTCGTCGAGCGTGTTGCTGCCCGAGACCCCGGGGTCCATGTCCGCCGAGCGACCCAGCAGTATGGTACAGCCCTGATATCTCACTGGCCGATTTCTTTTGTCATATGATTTTCATCGTGTATAACTATCACACTCGGTCCCAACCTTGAACTGACCCAACGTTAGATAGCATATCTGCTGGAATATAAGTCAGCGAAACATGATCCTAGTTTCTCAAGCGTTCATTAATGAATTTTAGGATGCGTTTCCTTTATGGGCTGGTCATCTGTTAAAATCAACAAGACTGATTTCCGATGTAGAAGGTGGTGACTACCTTACCGAACGTCATGTGGAAGCCCGCCACAATTTAACCAAAGGTAGGCCTACAGCGGTTTTTCCAAGGAACGACCACAAGAGCATAGAAAGATCGGTGATCTCAACTAGATGACAAATATAGAGCGCCCCGATTAAGGGTACACAACTAGGATCATCACTTGAGGTTGTAAAGCTCTGGTGCTTTACCAACTGACTTATTGTAGCACCTGGAATTTAGGGAATAGATTAAACATATCCTTGTTTTTAAATACACGACTTTTCTATTCTTGATCCATACACTGAAGATTTTCTACTGGTGTTTGATTATAACCTAGCTGAAATACTAAGTGGACGGGATCCTCTAGGCAAATATTGGTTATCTGAGGCAACCAATTATATCAGTTCTGGATCCCTGCTGTAGACATAAAGTTAGACTACCCTGATGTAATGTTATCCTATCATTATTTAGGAAGATTCTTTTCAATAAATCAGTGTATTCAATGATTATAGACACGAGTTTCTAACCAGGTCACCAAAGATCAACATACATGTACTTGTAGCCAGTATCTCCAGATAACACTGGTTATCTGCCATGACAAATGTGTATGTAATCGTGTGAAATATTAGTCACAGCCTGCGGCTAGATCGATCTAGTCAGCCAGTGGTCTGTGTTTGAATCCTAGTAGTGGAGGCATTGAAATAAATAATGATCACTTCTAGATCTGTGGTTTGTTAATAAATGGCAACAAAATGTCAAACTGAAGACATCAACCAAATAATAATAATAATAATTCAGTATTTATTAGATTTTTCAATATTTTGATACAGGACTTTCATGTACAAATAAAATGATGTTTACAAACTGTAAATATACAGAGTATGTTCAACAGTTGTACATTTGATCAATGATAACTAGGAATTGTGATGTTATACATAGAATTGGGATCAATTTGTTCGCAATGAATGACTAATGAATGGTCCATGTACAGATGTAGTTATGACAACAGTATCTAATATTCTCGCACTTTCCAGCCACAATTTAATTACAACTATTGAACTGTACATCAATATATATATTACTTTTTCTAACAATTAAACAGATGATGGTTTGATAGAACTATGAACACAACAGTTGAAACTTCATAATTAATATTCTCACATATAACAAACATTTAAACAACCACCCAACTGAACAAATGAGAACATATTAACACAAAGACACAATGGTGGAACAATGTTAGCGTTCACCTTCAACAAGACTAGAAACAACATTGGAAAGTATCCCAGTTTCTGTACCCTTACAAAGAAACACGGATTCAATAATACTCACATTGTATGTAATATTGTCATAATCAATTAAATGATTTAATAACCCAACTAGATGACAAGTCATTTCATTAAATTATCAATATATTAACTTTTACAATTTTATTACCATCAAATCTAAATACTATGAAGAAGGCTTTATCAAAGCATTCATCAATGGACAGAAGATGATGTTATTCTGCGAGTACACACCTGTAAACATTCAATTATGCAGATCTTAATATATCTCTACAAAATTTCATTTCTTCAAATTCTGGATTTATCTGTATGTAACTGGGATCCATGAACTATTAAATTCATTTCATTTGCACCTTTCTTGGGCTTATATTGGAAAAAAGGACTTTTTTTACTATTTCTTACAATACCTCAATTTGTATGCACTTCAGCTGCTATTTGAAATTTACTTGTCAGAGTAATTGATTTCAAAGACAAATTATACAAACATTGCAACTATTTCATTTTATTAACAGCATAAAATATGGAAAGAGTCATCTAAAATCATTTATAAAGTGAAATAAGACCTATCTCAACTGATTACAAAATAAATATATAACAATTTACATACAACTGATATCATATCTCGTTACACATTGTGTAATATTTTCCAGACGCTATGGTAAAATTCAATATAAAATAAAGGGTAATAATTTATGTCAACATAGAAAAATGTATCTGAAATACACATAAGCCTTCACTTGTGTTTTGGTGAAATAATAATGAAATCTCACTAAAGTTAAGATAACCTTGACAACTGGATCAAAACCTGAAGAAAACTAAGTGGACAAATGGACAGACACTGATTGCCTCTCCACTATCGGATAATAAACAAATTTTTATAGGCAGTAGATAAATCTGACTTTACGCCAGGACACGAGAAGTATTCTTTATCACAGAGGTAAATATCATTCACCCGGAAACGACAGATATACAACAGAAACATTAAACTAATGACTCAAAATTTATTCAAATATATAGCAGATTTTCCATCAGTGAAACAGAGCCAGTTTCATGACAGGTGTTTATTTCACAATTTTAAGTGAAACCAACCAGGTATTTCATCAACACGAACGACAATCTTACATTAAACTTTCATCTCCATAACATCTATGAATGCTATCAATGTAAACTTCCAACAGTCATTTCATTACCACAAATCACACACAAGTAGTTCTATATTACATCAAACATTTAGCACAGATCTTTTATCGTCAAAATTACCTCATGTTGTTTCTGACCTGCAGTCTTCTATCAAGAGAAGAAGACTATTTATCTCAACCTATCTAGAAACGAATGTAAAAAAATATAAACTGTGACAGCTGATGTTTGCACTATTCAGCAAGCTCTGCAATTTCCTCATTGTCCGAATCTCCAGAGAGTGGGTTTGGCTCCCCAGTCACACTGCACCGATGAAGGATGGCCTTCTCGTAAGCCTTTTGAACAGCCTTGCGCACGTTGGGCTTCCTGTTTTCCAGCAGCTTGGCTTTGTCCAGGCCAGAGTCCACTCCAAGTGGTTCTAACTTGTTTCGAGGTAGCCATTGCCTATTAAACATAAGACTTTCAAATGTAATCCTGATTTTTATTTTCTTTGGTAACAGGTGGTATGTAAATCAAATACTACTGTCTTTCTAACAGCACAGTCAAATATGTCATTTTATTTGCGGATATTATTTTATTTCAGTCTAGATGCAGATAAAATATTTTCTTCTTAACCATATTTCAGTGGTTATAGCACTCAACCTCAAAACTGAATGAAGGACTGTTTTTGTTTTATTCCTGAGACTGAAGTAGCTAGTTTCAAGTCATACCAGGCCACTTGTTGTTAGTGTTAAAATGTCAGGTCACTAAAACTTTATAACTTGGATTTAGAAACATTTCAGCTCATCTATAACACACCCAGTTACATAGCTTGGGGGTAAAATGCATCTTTCAGTGACATTTTACATATCTATGACTTTTTCATGAAATTACTGTCAGAACTGACCATGTGCGTTTGGTGTCAAAGAAGAGAATGAGATAAACTGGCTCATCATATTTGCGCTGCAAGAGAAGGACATCTTCCGGCGGTACAGGAATGGGAACACCGTTGTGAAAATACCCAGTCTTTGGCATTTTTGGATTAATGATCTTAAAACAAAAAAGAAAACAAGCTTATTGGAATCAATCAAATTAATGTTTAAAAATTATTACACAGAAAACATTACACCAATTGTAGCTTCTGTATCAAAATATTGAAGATGCATATTTATCATCATTTATTGTACTGTCTATTTCCCTAAAAGAAATGAAATGTTACAATTTGATGGCATGAAAATAAAAATATACTTCAAATAATTGATTTTGTTCATAACAATTCCATTTGAATTTACATAAGAGAAAAATTCTACATACCAGTGCAGGATACCAAGGGTAGCCTCTACATTTAGCCCAAACAAGGTCCAAGGGTTCTAAAGGAATCAATTCATCGGAGTCCACGCTCGTACTGCGGTGTGCTCGTGCTGTAGGAAGATGAACATATTTTTCCTTCTTTTATTTATGGTAACAGAATGTGTATCATACTGCTGTACTTTCACACATGTAGAGCAGAATGTTTGAAAGTCAATATGTAAGGAAAATTTCACTTTCTGTCCAATATCAATACTCTATTTGAACATTATAGACGTCTTCAACTTTCGCCAGCAAACTTCCAATCCAAGATCTTATCAGAATAGCTCTTCAATTATATACACATCTCGTGGTTAAATAGTTTTCTTTCTGGAGAAAACTTCGAGTGATGTAACTCAACTGAAAAACATGGCCAAACTTCAAACTAACAAAACAGTCAAAACGAGTTAACAAAACACAAACACCACAAACCATACTAAAAAGCCAACCAACAGGATAATAAAATCTAAATCAACAGCATTGTTCATATCTACCTACTATCTGTTTCTTTAAGCCAGTGATACGCTTCCCTGGACCTTTAAACTCATTCCTGTGGACCAGCTTTCCTGAGCAGCCAGCAGCACAAGAGGCTTTAGGCTCTATACATTTGGATCGTCCAACTGAGTCACAAGATCTTAAGTGTCGGACAGATTGGGACGGATGTTTGGTGGCAGGAACATCTGTCTGATGAAGCCTTTTTGGTTTACCAATGGCCGATTTCTCGGCATGACTAGACCTACGGGTAGCTACTCTGCTGCCACAAGTTTGCATCTCATATTGTTTGGATACCAAATAATTACTTTTCTTTTGATTTGATCCCTTTCTTTTCACAATGCCTAAACATTTTTCCTTTTTCGAATCACAAAGAATCCTATTGCCATTTAACTTATCAACTTGAGCATTAGCACTATCATCCAACCCATCAGACAGGCAGAGCTCATGGAAGTTTGCATCCTCAATAAGCAAAGCATGCAGAGAGGTAGTAGAAGCATTATTGGTCTGTAAGCCGCTGGAAGCTGTAGAAGGATTACATGCAGGGGATCTTGGGATACCAGTCAGCATGCTTGCATCAGTAACTGAAGTCCGTCACCAGATACATACATTGAATTATAGGAAATCAGATTAAAACTTCAGACTGCCTTCAGCAACACAAGCATCTGTCATTTATGTTAAAACAAGTAAGAAATGAATGGATTAATAAAATGAAATATTGACAAAGTCCAGGCCCGAGAGACATTGACCATTTATACACCAGCAGTACTTCCAATGACCTGCCAAAAAAGCAGTATTTTATTCTAAAATTGTAACACATTTTGATATCTGTTACTAACAAGTTAATAAAATTTGAGTATAAATAACACTGATCACAAGTCATTTCATAACAAATCCATTCATAATTGAGGTATTGTTTGGAATGTGCACAAAAAAGGAGCAGTGATTTCCCCAGAATATGTCAACAAACAGCCAGCAAAAATGTGGGAAAATCTGTGAATGGAATAAGTTAAATGGCTCTGTATGTTATTGTCTAAAATGACATCCCAACTCTCCCCTTACAAAGATATAAATTCAAATGTGGCTTAGTGTTGTCCACCTGTCTACAGTCGTCTACGAGAACCTGGGGAAAACACTGTAAAGAAAAGTAGACACAATCAGGTAACCCTGTCATCTTCACAGTGGGTTGTGCCATCAATTATCTGGACACCACCCATCACATTATGTGGGGATGAGAGGGTTCACAAAAACAATTGGTTGTGCCAATATGGGATATATTTCCAATTTTCATATAAGCATAGTGTACATATTATAAAGTCAGGTGAAGCAGTGAGAGAAACTTTGATTTAAGATTGACTTGTAGTGATCGTGCCGTGCTAGTCTAGCTCCCTGATACACAGATACATGTGATACAGAGGATCATGATCTGGAGTATTAGTGGGTAGGAGAGAGAAAAAGGAGCTGAAGGCAAAGCCAGGGAAGGACAGAGTGATATTACAGCAGGCTGGGGGAAACACATCTCCTGTCATTTATAATACAGTAAAAGCTATGTAACCTTCATTTGTTTACAATGATTGTAAGGAATCAATCATACTCAATATTTTTCTACTTCAGAGAATTGTGACATTATGACATTAAGTTTTCAACAATCACTAATTAGTTTTTTTCTCATTATTGATAAAAATGCAATCTAATATAACAGAACAAAGAAGAATCCTGGGTGTCCACCATCACAGAATCATTCGAGGAATAGGATCTTATTCTATTTATTTCTCAATGCTGTAAACAACTGATAATTATGTTACTCCATGTTTGGGGACATATTGTGTTTGTTCTTGTTTCTTCCACAAATCCTGCTTTATCAAATTCATACAAAGTTTTATTATTTTGACAGTCTAGGATTCCTGCTTTATAACAGCCATATGAAGGACAAAGTGGAAAATAAAAAAAGGACTTTCAGAAAGATCCTTTAATCTGACTTTAAGATGACTGATCGTTTATGTTTTTACTAGTAGTCTCGAAATGTACATAACTAAGGTCTGAGAATGATCGGAATATTTGTGTCATATAAGTGGAGATATTTTTATAAAGTTGCAAGTAAGACTGAAAATCAATTTTAAAGAACAAGTTGATCTTCATTATTTCCTTTTTATACAGAAAGGAAATCTAGATCAATTCCAACAACTCATAGATTTCATAACTAATCGTCAATTCTAATACTTCAAATTTCATGACAACTTGTGAATTCTACTGACTAATATTTCATGACTAACATAATGGGGAGAAAACAATAAAAGATGACAAATTCCTAAAATAATTTTACAATAAAATAAAAGTCTAGTAAATAAGCAAAGCTTTTTCTTTTAGAAGGTAACTACTACATACACACAATAGCATTATATTACATTAGTGTTCAAATACAGCATTGTTAGAAGCAAAGTCTAAAAACTGTGTTGGTCTAGTGAATACTAGTGGAAGAGATGAGAGGGCAGGCTCATACCTTTTTTCCTTGCAGTGCCATTGGAGCCCGGGGACCCGGAGTACTCACTCTCTGTACCATCTTCTGAAAGCTTTGGCATTCCGTTTGAATTTAACTCTACACACGAACAGCACACAGCAAGGCATGAAAGAAGCAGGCACCAAGCATAAGTTTAACATGCCACAAAAGTGTTTATCATGAATGAAGCAAGCTAACTGTCAACTTTTTAGCACAAATCATATTAACGTTGCTATTTCACCAAAATAAAAAAAAAAATAGTGATAATGTGCAAAGAAGCAAAGAATTGTTTGCAACTAAAATGAATTTTCATTACAATGTAAACACAAATGGAATACATCAAATAATCTGGGTATTAAAGGGGGAAATACGCACAAGTAGATATCAAGTCAAAAGCCATCGTTAACGATATGACGTAAACTGTGGTGGTAGAAGACAGAACCAACAATGAGCAGTCATGGGTCAAAAAGCAGTACACACACAAAAAGTTAAGGTTTCCCCAAAACCAAATACGATGGAATTTGTGACAAAATAAGACACATGCCATATTAAATGTGCAGACACAGATATATTACATCTATATAAAGGTGAGTATGTCTGTACCGCGGAGTGTTAGGTGACTCCTTACCTGATCGACTGTTACTGCTGGAGGTTCCACTCGAGGTCTCAGAGATGGAATCATCACTCGTACTGATCATAGAGGTACTGTCTGATTCTGATGAACTTCTCAGGTTATCAGGACCCCTATATACCATGAAGCTATCTCTCTTTGTCAGGTCTGGTGGCTCAGCAAATTGTGACAAGGGTTCTGTTAGAGAAGAGGTACGTTTGGGAGGTGATGGCCTACCCTCTCGATCTGGTGATGTTATTGCACTGTGTGACCTTTTTCTCGCAGCTGGACTACTCGCACCTCTGCTTCTTGTTGATGGACTCATCGGTTCAAGAACAGGAGGCTGTGGCGAGTCAGACTGATCAATGTTTTTTTGTCTTGGAGGTCTGCCAGCTTTTCCTTGTTTCTTGGGAGGGGTACAAGGACTGCTGGGATTGGAAACATCTTGCTTGCTGCGGAACACCTTCTTACTAAACAATACTGCTGTTCTTCTATTCACCCCACTTGTTGTTGGTTGGGATGAATTACTATCCTCATTTTTTGATGAAACTGATGATTCTGTGGTACGCGAGCTGTCAGATGATCGTCTTTTGTCTACAATGAAACCATTAGTTTGATAATTACCAGTCTTTTTTTGTTTGGATTTAAATTGATAAGAATAAACTGCTCTGTTGTTAAATCTTCTTTAACAGTGGTAGTACAGTAAGCTGTGCTTCCATTGAAATGAATGTTCATTACCTTGACCAGTGAAACAATAGATTCAATATTTCTTTTAGCAGAACATTGTTACAGCTTTGACAGAGTATGATATATATGAGATTAAAATTGACTGTCAGAAGTCAGCAAGTCTAAAGTCACATCAATACAACAGAGAATTACGAAGAGATACAAAACACCGAAGAAATACACGATATCAATAAATTTACCATCTGAATGACACACCTAATTCCTTTCCTAAATGTTTGGGCAGTATCACTGACTCCGACTCAGATTCACTCTTGCTGCGACTTGTGACCCTTCCACGTCCCCTGCCTCTCCCTCGTCCACGCCCTCTACCAGATGGTGTATCTTTAGATGAAGATTTACCAGCTGACTTATCAAGAGAAGAGGATTTTGAACTACGGACGGGGGTCTCTTCTTTTGTTTCTTCAGCCATGGAGTCATCATTTGGCTCTGAGACTGCAAAAGAATTGATTCTAGCAGTGAAGTCTATTTCCTACTACCTAAGGTCTTAGAAACATTCCATTGAATGTTAGAAATTAATACAAAAGCAGAAAGGGTTATGAAAGATTTTTAACAGGAATACACACAAGATAAGTAGCCTGAAAATACAACATTTTACACCGAGAATTATGATAACAATACCATTAATATTGATACAATATTCCATGACTTCCAGCAAAAGTATTTTTACTGCATTCATACAACAACAAATAATTTACATAAATATTAATGTTCCAGCAGATTCAAAATGATGTTAATATGCTGTAATATGGTCAATTTGGATAATGAATATTCATAAGCCAATTTTCATTTCTTGAGACTGCATAATAATATGCCTGTACTATAACACATCTTTTCGATATCCAATGGTATACTTAGTACAAAATACTATTGTTAGAACAGGTCACAAGCCAATCTGAAGCAATGATACGTTCACCAATAGTTTGATTACCCCACTGCACTACAATGGTTAATGAAAATACCATATGTTAGTGTTGGCAATTTGGTTGTATTTTCATGACTGACCATCAGATCATCTGTACTGTTTAATGACTAATCATCAATTTTGGTCAGATAAGAAAGACATATATCTCAATTTATGCTATGATAAATTGATATCATCAAAAATAAAGAATTTAAAAGTTACGAGTGTTATTTACTTCTGCATTTTCTTCTGTAGAAAATCATAAAGAGTGATTAAATTTCTGTCCAATACAAATTGGAAAACAATTTTATTAAGCGCTTCAGCAGCTATGTTGACTTGTCTCCTTCTGCCAGACACTTGATCACTCGTAATGTTCATTGACAGGATAAAGATTCAAGACTTTTTTTCTACTAGGGAAACATGACCGTCACTTTTTATTTTACTGATGATCAATCCGGAAAGATTGTAGTCAATTTATTATTTAATTGGTGTAACCAACACATACATGACAAAGTTGATAAATTGAAACATCACTACCATGTGTGGTCTTACTAGTTTCCTTAACAAATCATTACAAATAAATATCTGAACTATTCGGCAGTAGAGAACCTCTTACAAAACTTACCTGTACCTATGCTGTCATCCAGATCACTCGCCTGTAAGCCTTCCTTTTGAATGGCAAGTTTCTTTCTTACTTTGATAATCTCTTTCTTTATTCTTTTAGCCAGACTAGATTGTCCTGAACAAAGAACAAAACATTTTGCTTACTGATGAAATAAATCAAGGTGAACAAATGTTTTTCTAGCTCATTATTTGGTACACACCAATTTGTAGTAAGTTCAATACAATATAAACAAATTCTTTTCATACTTTTACCAGTTTCTAGATTTCAACACTGTCTCAATTCTTTGTATCTTTAGGAAAATATTATAATCTTTATCTTGTCTAATTATCAATAAGGTACTGTTAATTTTGTAGATCAGTTTCGATCAATACTGAAGAAATCATATGTTTACCTTTTGTATTGTTAGCCATGTCCATTTTATCTAACAGGATACGTAACTGCTCGTCCAATGGAAAACTATCTCTCTTTTCTTGGAAACTATCAACTGCAGAAAATCAAAGATGTCATAAAGTCTCTAAACAAAGACCATGATATGTCATCATAGAACATTCAGAAATATGTACCAACAATTCATTATTGGATTAGTCTTGTGGAGTCATGGAATTCCAAAATTAATCAAAGTAGGTAAGTCAGTACTATTCCCTGCTCTAACTGATCATTATAAACCAATCTACAAATTCTTTAGTTCTCTTGGACCGAGTTTGAGTTACCTCATTTCTCTGTCAGAACATTTGCTGCATTGAAATATCAATTATTGCTATGTAAATATTTTACATTTCTAAGATATAGCCTCACCACTTACAGTCCTCAAAAATGTAAATATTCTACATCTCTAAGATACAGCCTAACCACTTACAGTCCTCCAAAATGTAAATATTCTACATCTCTAAGATATAGCCTCACCACTTACAGTCCTCCAAAATGTAAATATTCTACATCTCTAAGATATAGCCTCACCACTTACAGTCCTCCAAAATGTAAATATTCTACATCTCTAAGATATAGCCTCACCACTTACAGTCCTCCAAAATGTAAATATTCTACATCTCCAAAATGTAAATATTCTACATTTCTAAGATATAGCCTAACCACTTACAGTCCTCCAAAATGACTGGTTCCTTTTCCTGGGGAGGTTTCTCTAGATGAAGTCCTGTGTCAGGGTCGTAACCAACTCTCTCTGCCATTCTTCTTGATGCTCGAATAACCATGCCGCCCTTAAATAGGTTCAACAATATAAACAAAATATTAAAAAATTTTATTTCTGAAATCCTTGCAGTTTATGAATGTATTTCCCATATTTGTTCTGCAAAAGTTCAAGTGTTTTAAAAACAAAAGAAAAACTTCTATCTCAAAGTCCTGTGTTGGGCTCATGATAGGTTCATAAAAGAGCATTGGTTTACTGAGTCAGCAATGATGTGACTGGGTTTATTATCATACATAGACTTATTTCTGAAAAATACAATAGAATTTATTGAAACAAGGACCATAAAAAGTCCCTAAAAATATCTGTGATTGAATGTTGTGGTAGATCTGCTACACAATAGAACTCAACTGTGATGCCCATTTCTAGATTTTAATTTATTTTTGGTGAAGTATAGAAAATATAAACATGGTAATTTTAGGAATTTATCAACCTTTTCTGACAACATAAAACAGCTTGTCTTCAAAACTCAATGTGTGGATATACTGTAGCTTGTTTTAAATAAACATGACTGAACAAATTTCAGGTCATCATATGTGTGGTACAGGTCAGACATGGTTATACACCAGTGTTACTATTTTTAACATTGCACTGCATGATTATCTCCAGAAAACAAATACAAACTGCCAGATGTGATATGACTAAATAACATGTGTGATACATTTCTAAAATAGACCATCTAGTGATGTTACAAACATGTACTTTACAGTGATCTAAAAGTAGTAAATATGTTATTGTTTTTTTTAAAAATATGTTTGGAAACGGAAACCCACCATTACAAATATATTAAGGAGTGTTTTTGTACTATAATTAATAAAATGTACCTGGTCTCGTAAACGTGTAGCTGACCTATAGAACATGGTGTCTTTAGCATTGTACATGAGGCAGTTATTGATGATATTTTCAAAGTCAAGCTCAAATTCATCCATTGTTTTGTACTTGTGACTTTCAACCTTCTTCCTCATTGTTAAGAAATCCATTGGTGTTTGGATGTACTCCAAGTAGTCTGGCACCTTTAAAATAAACATTTCAAAATCTCTACACAAACAAAGAAATAAATCACATTTGTTTTCATTATCTTTATCTATTTACCATTAATTCATTTTCTTATACCAAGTTACATCATTTAAAAGCAACTGGAATGTGGGAAAAAGAAGACAAACAAGATTTTTACAATATAAAGTACACAAAAACTTTGAATTCAAAATAAAAAGCTAAAAGCTAAATTTATCTAGAATAGAAAACTTATCTACATGTGCCATATCAGTAAGGTTCAGCTGACAGGAATTCCATACGATGAGCATTTTTTTAACTGATATTGATAACACAGATGGCGACCTACCTCTTCCAAAGACACAGGTTCTGCAAATATGCTGGCAGTATCTCGTTCCTGCAGCTGGTCCAGTGTGTGTCGGAGGAGGACTGCGAATGGCTGCAGCTGTAACTCCAGAGCCAGCTGGTGGACTTTGACCTAAAGGAACATAAAAAAAATCACCATATATAAAAATTTAATAGAATGAAGGACCAACATCAATAACTCATAAAACAAGGAGGAAATCTTTCAAATCAAGCAAAGGATCCTCTTACCATTATACCTTTATGAAACCTGTGTATTATAATGATATTGTCTTTGAGTTATGAACATTGATCAATCGATCAAGAGCTTAAAATATAACCTACTTTCAATAATTGTAAAATTCATTCTTCATATTTAAGACAGGTATCCTCTTAAAAATTAAATGATAAACAATACAACACAATGTGCTGAGGTTTATTATAACACTTTACCCTTTATTACTGAAATTCTTCATCAGGACATCTTTGGATATTTTCTCTGATTTATTCACAACTGGTTACTGCTACTGAGCAAAATCACAGTAACTTCTCATTCCTGATCTAAATAGTTTTTTCAACAACATGAAAGTCGTAGTTTATTTGATATGCTTTGCAATTCTATGTGAATTGGCCAGATGAACAAGATCTGGAGCATAAACCTATAAAATGTGAAGCCAACTGATGGCATATGGTCACCTTCCATATACTAATGCATGTGTTACACATTCTGACATGCATGTGCTGGAGCATTAAATCACAAACCAGTCAGAAATGTAGTCCACATTTGTTTAACAGGTGAAGAAACAGGTTTTAAGAGTTTTTTAATGTCTGTAGAGAAGATTAACAACAGCACTTTAATGTTTTTACAACAGTGAAGGTCATAAGAAAATAGTGTCTATGGATCACGTCACTGCAACATCATCAATAACGGAGGTATATGATACCACACCTCTGCCACAGTAAGTTCCTACTATCAGTTTTCAAAAGATTTTCATTGTTCAATTCTAAAGCAAATTTAAATATTTAAGTATTTTCTATCAAGCAAAATCATAAATTGTACAAACTAAAGTATAGGTTTCAAATTAACTAAACACCAAACTGCCGACACTCCTTAAAGCTCACATTTAAATTGAGTTTTAATTGAAATGAAAAACATAGGCAAAAACCTTAACTTTAAAGGTAGAAAAGTGCCTTGTTCATGTTAGAGGACTTGTCTTCATGGTAGTTACAGGCTGAAGATGACATACCTGTTCTCGTTTTAGTTTCTCCCTCTTTCTGATCAGCTCCACCAGCAAGCGAGCCTTCTCTAGGTCTTGTCTCAGTCGTTGCCAGTACTTCAACTGTTCCTTCAGTGCATTGCTCTGTTTGTCATTTTTCACCTTGAAATTGAACTATGCCAATTATTGCATAAAATGGAAACAAACCATTAGTATTCTTCTTTTTTATTAACAAACACTTCAAAATTTGAATAAAATCTAACAAAATCAACATTTTTCTACTTAAGTGGGTAAATCATCTGTACAATTTGGAATTTCTTAATTCACACACATGACTGAAAATTTTGTTACCTGTGAAAGGCATGACAAAAATAAAAAGAATTTACATGGATGTGAAGATCTTTAATTTCGTACATCAATCTCTATTTGGATTTCTACAATGAGGAAGACCTATTTTAGATGGTAGAATTTTAAAAAAATGAATTAGAACATATTTAAATCTTTGGTCAAATTGCTGGTTGATTAGAGGCTCTATGTTCCTGGCCATATAACCTTAAATGTTAGTCATCAGTGATCATATTGCTGTTGATAAGGAGACAGTGTTCAGCAAATATAAAATGAAACTAGATTCACTCAAGTAAGTTACATGTTTGACAGAAACATTCATTTGAACGGGAAGTTTCTGACGGTAGGTTACCATGCTAGATGTCCTTTGACTCACCTGTTCTTTGTTTCTGGTCATGTGATTGGACTGCAGTCGACGCAGAAGAGGTACTCCATTCCTGGACTGTCTCTTCAAAGTCCAATAACTCAATAATCGAGACAAAAACAATTGTTTCTTAGGGAAGACAAATAACTGACCTATCTTGGACAACCTGAAAGAACCAAAGTAATCATACCATACAAATTTCACACACAAAAGAAAAGACATATACAACACAAAGGCAAATTACATACAGGCATCATTTGATTTCACAAATTTTGTTCAGACCTAATTTGTAAATTTTACCTGATTTGAAATTTTTTTCAATTAATATATGAAGATTCCTTATTTGTACATGCATTTCTTATTTGTATTTGGTGGTGTAAAAGACCTGACAGATTGTAAAGTGAACTACAATCAATTTACAGATAGACAGTAAAATAAAAATACATGGATACAAACACTTTTTGTCTCTCACAGCCACCACTACACAATCAACAACACCACCATCCCCTCCCCCAAATACTGATCCAAGTTATAGCTGTTATATATCTATTTCACCTTTACTGTTTACTGAGCAATATGATGTATTTCAAATGTGTCTGGCAATCTGACATGCCTGCTAGTAAAAATATGTTTCTGGCAATTGTAACAATTTGGTAAAGGAAAAAGAAGTGACATGTCTTCTTCAGTCCGATAATGTGGAAACTGGGCCAAAGCCAACTTCATAATAACAGAATACTCATAATGAAGTGATCATTTTTTAATAAAAAGATTTCAATATATATTATGTGAAATGTTCAAAGTGTTTCTCAAGGCTAAGCACTTGTAAACCTTCAGACAGCTGTCACACACACCATCACTGAACAATCTTGAACTTTTTCATAAAATTTATTTAATCATATATTTTACGACAGAATATGACTACAAACTCTTTATCAATAAAAAATTGTGAGATATATTGCACAATTTGGACCAAATGCAAAAATAAGCTATAACCACCCTAAATAAATGGTATTCTGAAGAAACCTGATGTTTGAATATCATCTCAGAATACTACAAACTTAATCAAACATATTAATAATGAACACTTAAAAACTCTGTTACTTAATTCAACATAATAATTATAAACACCCAAAAACTATGTTACTTGTAGTGTAGTATTACATGTAGCTGTTAGCCTTGTTACTGGCTTCGCTTGCAGAGCTTTTAACTTTCAATAACATTGTAGATTGAGTTGCTGTACAATACTGTGTAAAGTTGATCATGGATTTGATTTTATTCCTTTCTTAATGTGATCAGGAGAAGCTACTTAATATTTCCAATGGTGATAACATTGGCCTTTATAAAGAATACCTGTTGGCTATCTCGCATGGGGGGTAAAAGTTTAGTGTAAGATTCTTTTTTTCCCTCCACTTTACTTATATCTATCAAAAAAATAGTACATGACAAAGACAACTGTGGCATAACTTACTGACATCACCTAATTTGTATATGTATCTTATATAACCTTAAAACCTCCCATACACCTGCCTGGTCCATATCAAATGATTTGTTGTGGGAATTTCTATTGTTAAAATGATCTTTCTCTAATACACAATATACATGGTAAACTGCACCTTCTCATGATGTGCATGCAAGTACAATTGACTTTGTTAGTATATCTATGTATATATATATATATAATCAAAGAAGTTATAATGACAATACTGACAGATGAATTGTCACATTTCCAGGCAATCTTCTCCTTTATCAAGACATCAATATTACATAAACCACATCACAGACATAGAACATAAAACAAATACAAAGTTATAGAAGATAAATTGAGAGCGGTAGTGTAAATTTAGGTGTCTCAATAATTATTGACCATGAAAATGTTATTGTATATATTTGCGACACTAAATGGGATACAAACTTTGTCAGTTTGGATTTATTCTGCAATTTCATCAGAAATTCAAAGTGTGAGGTTCTATTCCTCTCTAGGATGGATAGAGTGTATACTATACAGTTAAGAAAAGTCAAATTCAAATGTCACACAAGAATTCGGAATGACAGATTCAGGTTAGTAAAGTGATACTTAAAACTCCAAGAGCAGTGTGTGTCACCATGATAGAAGAACAAGACAGAGGAAAGTAGACAGAAATTCAAAATTACATGGATTTGGATATTACTGTGTGGATCTTGACCTTTGACCTGGAGTAAAATGGAGAGAAAAAAAAAGGTTATTTTTGAACTGGATAAGAAAATTCAATGTACGTGAAAATTATGTCATATGTCATATCAATCCAACCTGTTGAAGTTTGACATCTCTTCACAATAGATTATATATGGTTCAAATTTTCTTTTCTGTTTCTTTACTTCAAATCACTTGTCAAGAATGTGTAACTTGTAAATATCACTAAACTTTTAACAAAACAAACATGCATCTCAGGGATTTACCAAATAAATGGAGGAATCCCATCACCAATTACATTGTAAACGCTGGAAAAGGCAGATCAAATGAAGCATTTTCATCAAACTGGCCATTGACAGGAAGAAAATAGGAAATTTAAAGGGAAAGGAAGGGTTGGGCTGAAGATTCACCTATGAATGATCAACAACTTTTCTTATTACTGTTATTCACTTGTTTCTGGTTACTTGTGAATGGCTTGTCAACACTTCCCCATGTATAAGTTCATTTTTCTGATTGAAAATTGCAGTATCATTAGTCTGCAGCTTCAGGTTATTAATTATTGTCAACTAGGAAGGTTTCTTGCATTTTTCAGGGCTACAGTATCAGTCTCCTTTCAAGTGTGATATCACATCCAATAGGACTTGAGAATTGACAACAGCTAAAAAGAAGGTACAAATGTTGTCATACAGAAAACAAATTATTAGCAAAGAATTAACTACACATTAAGTTTATTTTTTTGTTGTCATTTGCATTATGTAATCTAGATATCTTCTTATATCACTGTCGTTATTACGAACAATTCCACAGACTTTGAAGCACCTACTGGTACTTAGTGCAAACTGCTTTCAGAAATGAAATTTGTATAACGTTATCGGGAGATGTCATCTAGTGTCATGTCAAAAGGGGACCATTGAGATCAAGCCAGTCATAATATTGTTCTATAATGGGAAGGGATAGGGAAGGTGATGGAAGGGCTGGGAGGAAAAATGATAAATCCCTGTTTTCACATTACAATTATGAAACAGCACAAAACATCTAAAGCCTTCAGGACAATATCTTCCTATACTGTTTACACGCTTACCTTTGCTGAGGTATGATTGGAATTGATACAACTGGCATTGCATTTCGTTTCTCGGCTAAGATTTTTCTTGCTTTTCTCATTTTAATACGGGACTTTTCCTTGGCTTTCTTTGCTGAGGCTGATTTGTCCTCTTCTGAACTTTCTGCAAGCATTGGCATACAGTCTGAATCAGCCGGAGTATGTACATCACAGTAGGCAGTTTTCCTAACTGTCAATGTTGGACCACTAGCACTAGGTTCTTTTACTGGTTCAATTTTCATGTATAATCCTGCCTGTTGTGCACACGTGACATGAAAGGCTGTATAACAGTTTGTTTTATGACACTGTATACAGGCACCTGTACCACGCTGTTTGCATATGTAACAAGAAAGTTTCCATCTTGCTGCAGGTATATGGTCCATGCTGTCTACAGGTTCAAGAAAAACAGTATTTGCAAAACCTACTTCTGGAATCCAAAGGGCACACACCACATGAGCCCACCTTCCATCATCAGTCTGTTTGAAAGCACCACCTTTATTTGGACAGAGACAACAATCTACTGCCCTCGAAGGCGACTGAAGGCAACGTCTACATAACCACTGTCCCTCTGGAATGTATGGAACACCATAACACTCTTGATGGACTGCCAGATTGCACATATCACAAAATAAAATAACATTGCTGTTTTGACATTCACCATCCATACAAATAGTACACACAGCATCTTCATCTATAGGGGGACCAACATCCTTGCCAGAAGTCTGACTTTGAAAAAATGCTTCTTTTTCAAATCTGTCCATGAGCATTTCAAAGTCCTCCTGTTTCACAGAACCAATGCCTTCATTTTTCCGTTTCTCATTGACCAATGTAAGCCAAGAATGATCCTGTAAAATGAAGAAACACATCAAAAGCAATTGTTACTCATTTATTTGGCTTTATTTCTCAGTTTTCCATTTGTTATTCAGTCATGCAGCATTTTAAATTGATTTGACAAGCTGCAGAAAATAGCAGAGGAACCAAATTATTTGTTCAAATTTGAAAGTAGGCAAGTATTTTGAAAACACTTCTTTCTTATATATACATATATATGACACGGTATACAGGCACCTATATATATATACTTACCTCTTCATCCATGTCATATTCAACTTCATTGTCCAATTCTTCAACAGACTTTTCTATATATCTGTAATAAGAATTTGGTCTTGGCTGAATATGTGAAGGCTTGATGAAGTCTTCAATAACCTTGTACTGGGCTTCAGGTAACTTTGAAGTGGAATTTGTATGACTAGGAACACTGGGTTCTTTTCTTGTTTTTGACCCTTCAGATGATTTCATGTGTTTTACTGGACTTTTTTCTGCTTTTTCCTCCTTTTCTGTGTTGTGATGATTGTCAATTTCATCTTGAGAAATTATTTCAAGAGGTTCATATATATTAATTCTATGAATTCTTCCTTCAAGGTCTACTTCTACAAGCCTTTGAGCCTCAGCATATGTTAATGTTTCCCTTCTCGTTGTTTGAGTAAACTCTGGTGGTGTTGGTGATCGTCTGTTTTGTCGGTGATGCCATTTTTGCTTTTTCTTGCTAGGTGGTTTTTTGGCGGGAGAAGCATTATTTTCTGGATTGTCATGATCATAATTATACATATGAAACTGTATCCCACAATAACTCTTGTACACTTTTCCACAGGATTTCACAGGACATTCATAAGGAGGCTTGGTTGCCTTCAAATTCTGACAAAAGGTCTTTACGTCAAAATCGTACACCATTTTGACGTTTTCCTTCCCATAACATGTGTAATCTGCAAAGAAAAATCAATAATAATTCTGATATCCAAAATTCATGTGTTGACAAAATCCACATTTGTGTATCTAAATAAAAGTATGAAGATTTAGTGTCCTAATATTGATATTAAAGCTAGATCATAGTGACATATTAACGCTGTTCATTTGTCATAGTGACATATTATCATTTGTCTTGTTTAATGGATCAAACCTTACATAATACCTGTTCACAAGACACCATCAATATCTAAACTTTATACTAAACTAATTACTTTGATGTATTTCAATCACTGTTGCTGATCTATATAGAATGTTATGGGAATATATAATACCATGTAAAAATGCACATAGACATATGACCCTTGAATGTATACCATTTTATATCCTGTAAGGTAATTGTGTGTATTTGGGTGAAATTGTGCTATCTTCTACATCAACCTATCAATTAACAAATTATATAAATGATATTTTTCTATTGAAGAAAGCTTATCATACATTACTATCTCTGAAGCTGAGCAAGTTATCAATACTTCTAACATGACTAAGTAAGGTCAATGAAGTCAACCTTGTTTTTAAAATTATATTCGGAGTTTTCATACAAGATTTTTTTCTCTGAAAATCAAGGCTTTTGAGGTTGTTTGTTATAAATAACGTTTTTTTTTTTGGATGAAGTAGGTCCTTGATTATCATGTTATTATATACCCTTATTAAAATACAAAATAAAAAAATATATAGTACAACTACCATTTTAATCCAAGATCCAATTCTTGTCTATATACTCGAAAGTAATTTTGTTCTCTTCTGTTACATAATGCATGCTTTGTCAGTTGAGTGGTTACATGCCCTCCCCCTACCAAACCCAGGAAAGAACTTTGCCTCAATATTTCAGTTTTCAGTGATTCCTTTGGGATCAAGCCAAGTACAATAGGCACAAATGTAATAGAGTGGGGAATAACACATTCCTGCTAAGTATCTCTAGCTGAATCGAACTTAGGTCTCTGGGGTTAATGATCCATGGCTCTACTATCTGGGACAAAGCATGCTCAATTAACTGGGTTACAGACACTATTTATACCTTTTACACTTATAAGGTTCATGGAAAAAAAATTGAATGTATATAACTGCAAAAGTAAATCCAACAACCTGGCTTGAACAGCTGGGACGCAGGAACTTTCATAGAATGATGGACTGAGAACTAGACTTATTCTAATGTATCATTGACCTTTAACCTTTAAGCTTCCATGTAGGAAAAAAACACAAAACCTAAAAGTCAACCAAACAAACATAGACAACAATGATTTGAAAAGCATACTGCAAAAAAAAAAAAAAAAAAAATGAAGATGATTATGAACATATCTAATTTTCGGTTAAAGTCTCAGTAACACAGTACCAAAGGATCAGGATTTGAATTGGCAATTTTACATAATCAGGAATGATATTTGTTAGTGATACTGCATTTCATTGTAATGAATGCATAAGTACAGGATTATTTTAATTCGGTTATGATTGTTAATGAATTTCCTTTTAAAATATGTATAATGTACTTTAAAAAGATCTAATAAAGTGCATCTTATTGATAACAATTGTATCGACTCTTCAGCAGTTCTTATTTTAAATTCGAAGTATATGTAAACAATCAGTCAATGTCAGCTAACTTGTATCTAACATACAACAATCCCTGATGAACACCACCAAAGAAATGTGTTTACAATCTAAACGTGTAACTTTCGCATTTGATAATAACTTAGTAAACAAGAAAACCCAAGGAAGTTCTATCTGCAGTCGGTAGATTATCAATACAAACCGTTTATCGACTTGTACAACCGACAACTGCTATACGAATTCAACTATGCCTATTTTTAGAAACAAAACATGTCTTCCTCGATTTCCGATTCCGGTGTGCTTCCAACCACAGTCGGTAGAAAAATCTAGAGTAACTCTGTATAACAAAACAACACAGAAAAAGAATGGCACGTAACACACAAATAGATAAAATAGCCAGTTGATAAAGGTATGACGAGGAAATTATTCAACCCGGAACTTGTCTTAACACGATCTAAACAACACACAGGCTGCAACGATCGCTATCCAGGACAATGAAAGGCTAGGCGTCCCTAAAACTACAGTGTATTCTATACATATAATCATAGTTCTATGTGTAACAACGATGTTGGTAAGAATCCTGAGTTCCTTAACACTCTTCTCATCAAAGTTTCTCGTGAAGAAACCTTTTCAAATTGTTGAATTATTGGAATTCGTAACCTACAAACCCTACTCACCAGGCGTCTTCCATGATATTGGTAACACTGCGCACAATTCTGCGCATGAACAGCCGGTTGAAACTATTTCCGGTTTTGTGGCGGGAATCGATCCACAGCTCGTAGTGCCGGGCGGACCAAGGTCATGTTGGCCTACAAAATTCACTTCGTGCTGCCAGCGCCAGACAGAAATGAACGCAGCCAGCTTGCAAACCTGGCTATGTACAAGGATAATGTTCTGGGTAAATTAAACATAAACCCCGTGCTGTTGTAGCAAGAATTTGATGTCCTTCCTTGTGCTGTGGTCTGAAGACATTACATATTTACAGGCAGTGTAGACACGTCTATTCACAGAGCTTTGTCTTATTCCATGATAGAGTCTAAAAGCAACGTCTCGTTATTAGGGAAATTTATGAAAATCAGCAACAAGGCAATACGGACATTTTCTGTCACGCGAGAGAGGTTGATATATCAGAATCTGAACTAGGCCTAACTCTAGGCTGAGCTGAGTATCGAGCAGTCTAGATTTCCAGTTGGGTGTCCCTTCCAGCCGGAGTCACGAATAAAAGGCGGAACGAGGTTAATCTGAATTGTTATTATAATCTATTTCGAGAAACGTTACAACACGGTACAGCAGCGTTGAAGGATTTGTTATATATACTAGATAGACTCCAGTGGTTGAAGAATCTAGAGCATCGTGATAAAATTTTCAGGTCCTGGGAGATGAGCACTGACCGATCGCGAGGGTTAAGTCCTGTTCGTACCATGCAATTTGCCTGTTGTCTAGATAACAATCAGTTTATAAAAGTATTGCCAGGGACGTATTATACGTCACTGGTATTGCGAAACATTTTTGGAGGTTGGTAGGTATGAGACAAAATTTTCCTATTATTAATCCTGTTCATTGAAGTGGAAAACGGCGGCGAAATCGCGATAACATTATAGCGAAAACTAGGTCTATCTATGGCAAGGCCGAATCAACTTTCTTGGAATGATGCATCAGATGTCCTATGTACATATGGAAGATCACCGATTCGACCAGCTATCTCGTCACACTATTTTCAACCTTATACGTATGAGGTTATAGTATGGACGATACGTCCTGCCGATTCATTACTATCTCGGACACCATTCTCCTCACGGGTCATTCGAGCAGGTTACGCTCGCTCGCTTAATTTGCATGTCCGCCATCTTGTTTCTTAATATACTGTAAAGGTAAAGAAGGAGAACAGAAAACGGATACATTCTTAAAGTTAAAGTGGCCGGGCACATTTTCACCGGTCACTTTTTTCACCTGACACCGTTCCGTGTGCATTGATATAAAAATAACCATTATGTTATTTTTCCGAGGTTGCCACTATAATCACAAAATGATGCAGTGAGCGGTAATCTTTGTCGTCATGTGACAAAAGTGCATGTTATCACCGTTTTCGATGACTTTGGATGACCTTACCGGTAATAGATACACAACCGACTCGATGTTTTCAGATTCCAGAAACAATATCATGGAAGAAACAGATTATAAGGTTTGAGGCCTGTGAAATGGTCAATTACTCATTTATGCTCGAAAGTTGAAGGGGTCAGCAAGGGGGTAATTTGCTTATAGCTTACAGGAACGGAATGATAAACAAAAGCGTCAACTGATATTCTGAACCTGTTGTCATTGTTCAACCAGTCTACATCTAATATTGAATACATAGTATACATTTAGCGGGAAAATATATTTGTACACCTTCCTACCTCCTGTTTTCATGTTTGTTGCCTCCTGGGTATCGATGACGTCACAAATATTTTGACGTCATTATTTTATGAATATTAGTTGAGGCATTCCATTTCTCCACATGTAAATTAATCAAAATCAAACTAATGATGGTAATACAAACAGAACCGAAATTCAAACTCGGATTCGATGTACCATGAGCGAAATTTGAAGAAAACAAATACTCGGAGAATCGTGTGAATGAGACCAGGTGTTCCGGAAGAGTAGGTGTCTTGTGCTTCATCGACGAAATCCGCCACGCAAATCCCGGTCAATTCAGGGGAGGAATGTCGTGTTACCAAATAGAACACTGTAAACAACAGAACCAGTTACTATCAGGCACACCAAATACATCCGACCTCGTATTATAACATTATCATTATTACGACCCTTTGGTGAGAGAAATTCATCGAAACCTCGCACATTAATTTCTCAAAGGTTGTATTTATGTAAGAGTTTCCATTCTATTTCAGAGCTGATTTTTATCAATTATGGAACTTAGATTAAGTCCATAAGGTGTTTTACCGACTCGGTAAAGACGAAGAGGGGAAAAAAAACCCACCAAAAACCAAAATTTGGCAATATTTTCTACCAGGTTGATATATGACGCAGTTAGCTATATTCGAAACATGTGCCCATGCTCTTTCTGAGACCGAATGGATTTAGATGAAATAGTTGAAAAATTTCCCGCTTTTGTTTGCTGTCCACCAGACTCCGTCCTATTCGGTAAAGGCGATAAAGGGCTGATTTAGAAATCCTATACAATAACGAAATAATTGAAGGAGAATAACGAGCGGCCACGATGGATATCTTAATATAGACAGTCAACAAATTATTAAAAAGCATGGGAACATCCACTCTAAGGAGTACAGATTTCTCCATACTACAGCGGGACCTGTTGAACCGGTAATAGACTCTAATTACAGTACAGTTGATATTCTATATGAAGATCGGTATAATTTTAATGTCTACATTCCATATACAACTTGAC